TTTTGCGAAATCAAGCCCTCGCGCTATAGCTTGAAAAACATCTAAGATGTCTTAAACGTTTATCGTGATTCGGACCCTAGATATGGTTACAAACATCCAAGGTTCGATCAAGCCTAGGAACTTTTGCTCAAATTTTTGCTGACCCTGCTCCTCTTGATGTTTGATTCTGGATGCACTGAAAATCTTTGCACTTCTAGCTTCATGTTGTACTTTCAAATTGAGAGGTTACACACTTTCGGACGGCACCAAAAGTGGGCAGTTAGGCTTGGCGGGTAAAGCATCGAGCCTACGAATTTAATGATCAGAAAGAGTATCAAAAGAGAGGTCTTGTTGAATGAAGCTCATCTATAAAGTTTAGAAATCGTAGGTCAAGCTTGAGTCACAGTTTCAATCAATCAATTGACTGTTTGAACATGGGGAAAAAATTGTGAACACTTTTCACTAAATGTATTCTCTCAATTAGAATCGCCAATCTTCTATAAATCCCGAAGTCCTATTTATACATCCAAAAGAAAGCTAGTTATCAATTGTCATGCAAACTGCTGGTTTTACTAGACAACTTTCGGATGCTTGGTTTAAGCCTGCAACTAGGGTTCGACAAACTAGGTTGGTTATGCCGCTCCGCAAGTGAGGTGACGGTGGTTGCCGACAAGGGTTGGTGGCTCGAGACGACGAGTGGAGAGCTTTCGATTGGGTCGCCAGGGGTTCTTTGATAATTTGAGATTAAAGTTCTAGTTTCTAGGAGTGATAACTTAATCTTCTTATTGAGGTAATTCATGTGTGATATGCGATTTACAGCATCCTCCGTAACCCAAATGAGATTTAGCATATGGTAAAAGCTTGGTGGGAGCAAAAAAGTATGGGAGCATGAAAGTCAGGACCGATCAAACTCGATGTTTTGGGCCTGTCTTATTTATATTATTTAGGTCAGTACGGCCCTTCGGGCCTAATCTCTGGCCTGAAATGACCCTAGTCGTAACCGTCTCGAACTATTTTTAAAAATGAAAAAGTATATTGAGAATATACATTATTTACTTTCTAAATATTTTAATAGTAAAAAATAAGTTAAGAAATGATTCAATTCAAATGAGTAAGCAGTGATGTACGAATACAGGTTGAATTGGAAAAAAAAAAGACAGAATTATATCAAAAAAGTGATTTTTGAGGCCGAAAATGTCACGAAATGCCTTTGGCAATTGGCCCCACGGCGTTGAGTACTAAACAGACTTTTAGATTGTGCTTATGTAACTTATAACTCCACCAAGATCAAAAGTTATGCTCTGGTATAGTTGAGGTGCTTGGGAATGCAATTTGTGAATCGGAAAATAATAATATGTTAATTGCCTTATAATAAGATTTTTATATTAGAAATATGATAAATAACCATTATCTATAATTTTTATTATAAAAATTCAGGCCTAAGCTTGAAATGGACAGGCTTAGTTCGTTCCAAGTTTTTTTTGTGTGATCGGGTCCGTGCTTGGAATTTCCAAGCCTGGTCGTTTCGGGCTGGGCCAAAAAATGCCTTGAGGCTGGACCCGTGCTCACTCTAGTAAAAATTATCATATCTAGGGTTTGGTGGTACACTAATGATCGAATAAATCCAAAAAAATGCCCCATAACTTCGGACTATTGAGATAATATTATCTCATCTACATAAATTAATGAAAAGTTAAAAAGAACTAAAAAGAAAGAAAGAAAAAACAATTGAATTGGAGAGAGAGAAAATGGGAGGAGAGAGAGAGAGAGAGCAACGACCACGGGAAGAGGATTGTGAACCCTCGGCTGTGGCAAACATAGCATTGTGGCGCGCAAGTGTACATACGCTCTTTCTCTGTCTCATGATGGATCAGATCGGTCGGGTTGGTCTCGAATGCCCACCCCGGCAAAGTGACCACCTCCGTGGTGTCGCCATTCCAAGAAGGCGTTCACCAAACAAGTAGGATTGTGCTATTTGCACAGCATCTTTGGATGCTGCCACAACCTTTCAATATATTGGACATCATTGCCCTTGTGTGGGTCCTGCACATATGTACTGCTACGCATTTTGTGGCTTGTGCAGTTCTTTTAGGGACTACATTACCCTCCTCCTCATAATTAATGAAAAGTATCGAGGGTCGCGGTCTCGAATAATACTATAGATATACTTAATTTAAAGTTACTTTTATGGCTGGTTTTTCAGCGACGCCTACTTACTAATTACGAAGGGCATTAACGTAAAATCACTTTGCGCTTCTTGTTCGCAATCATGTGGAACAATTTTACACGTGCTTCAAGGTTGTAAGTATGCAAAGGCTAATTGGCAAAAGATTTTGCCAGCAAGCTTAAGGGGCAAATTCTTTGCCCATGATTTGCACAAGTGGTTATTGGCAAACTTTTCTGCTTCAACAACTCTAGTATAAAAAGCTGATTGGCCGCTAGTTTTTGTGTAACTTGTTGGCATTTGTAGAATTGGAGAAACAAGAGATTATTTCGGATAGACTTTTCTCTTTGTGCCGCACCTGTGGGCCTGATTTCAAGAATGAGGTAAACTGTATACTTCAGGATGTAAATGACAATCTAACATTTCATAGGCCACCGAGAGATTTACTTCTTTTGTTGATTGGATATTAGATAGGATCAAGTTTTATTAAGAGAGTAATGGTATCCTCATTTCTTACCAAAAAATAGTTACTTTTCGTGTTTTACAAAAAAAAAATGTTTCTTTATATACAGTATAAATGAGTAATTCGTTTCAGTGTACGATGATGGAACTTTCTCAATTTCAGTAAAAAAAAAAATAGTGTAAATTAATCCCTGATGGGTTGTGATTGAGATGCTCGTGTCCTTCATCTCGGAAAGCAAAAGGTTCAAAGTTCGACCCCGCTGTCACTAATTCTATGGGGTCACCTTTAAAAGTCACGAACTAGTGGGACTTTGTAACTATCTGGTGTGCTCTTGACGAGAGAATTGCCAAACCCGTCATGAATTAGTCGATTATCAATCCATTTTGATTAATCACGCGATATTTAAAAGAGTAAACCCCTGGGAATTTCTTTTTCTTTTCCTCCTTACAAAAATGCCTCAAGCGGTTTAATTGATTAAAAAGGCAATGGTCAAGAATTAGGCACACTGATCACGCATATTAATGAATAAGATGTGGATTTTCATTGAGAATGTAAAAGAAAAGCAATCAACAAGATGTTGGCCTAGATGGCAATGGCAAGAGAGTTTAATTTTTTTCTTGTAATTTTGGATTCAAACTTTGTTGAGAGCACTCGGTCAATAAAATCCTAAATACATTCGGTTTATATGGGGGACTGCACCTTAAAATCTCCCTCAAAGGTCGTCCAATCGAGATGTGTGAAAATTGACTAGGAAGCCACCAAACTTGCCATAAAAAGGAAAATAAACTATTTTTGAAGAAGCTCAAGAGAGGGGGGAAGAAATAAGATAAAGATTCCGGATAGGAAAAGCACAAATAAGGGGAGAAAAGCCACAAAAAATCCTAAACTATGCTCATCGTGGTACATTTACTATGATATTTTTTAGTGACATAAAATCCCTCAAACTATACTTACCGTGATACATTTAACCTAAACTTTTTCTTGTGACATAAAAAAACTCAAAATTTGTACATATGTGACATATGTATCCTCCTCCATCAAGGTTCCATAAGATGATTTTTCAGCCAAAACAATATTGTTTTATTTCACTTAAGTCATGCGAGCACCATGTCAATATCATTTACTTTCCGGCGTCTATGTAGGCAGATTTTTAACGACATTCATTGACGGAACATTGACGAAAGATAAATGTGTCACACAAATACAAATTTGTGATTTTTGGTGTCACAAATTTTTTTTAGGATAAATGAGTAACAGTGGGTAGAGTTTGTAATTTTTGGTAGCTTTTTCCCTCCAAAATAATTAGATGAGTTGGTGCATCTATACGAGAGGCCTACATTTGACATTGAATTGTTGAACAAGGGCATTTTTGCAATCACAAAATTCCAACAAATGGACAAAGAAAGAGCCTATCCATGGGGGACCATATAAGTGCAATGACGTTCAACCACACTAAAAGGTTAAGGCAGATGTTATGGAAATAGTAGGGATAAGCAATCGATTGGTCCACTTAAGAATCGGATCGAACTAGCCGGTTAGACCTTGCTGATTCTAGGAAGAACAGGACTTGCTCTTGGTTCCAAGGTTCGGCTCTCGATCCTTATATCAAAAGACAAGACTACTCAACTAACAAGGCTTAGTGAAAAGCAGCTTTTCTCTCTCCGTTGTGGAGCTTCCTCTCTATCCCCATGGTGATAGTGTACCCACAAACCCTAACACTCCCTGTGTCCCTCACCAATCCTGCATCGTCCTCTTACCCTCCGTAGGTGTCCCCATTCCTCTGTCTCGCCACACTCACCCAGGGCAGTAGTCCCCTAACCCAAGTCCCCTCTTCAAAGTCAATGGATCCTGTTCACCTCGGGGAGCTTCTCGGTTTCCATTCTTCTTTCTCGTCTTTTTCACCCAGGGCAGCAGCGCCCTAACCCAAATCCCCTCATCAAAGTCTTTGGTTCCAGTTCGCCTCGGGGAGCTGCTTGGATCTGTCGAGGCCAGCAACCTTGTGCTCCATTTACAGAATTCCCCTCCAAGGTAAAGAAAACGGGAGATCCAAGGTTGGTCAAGTTTTTACAAGTTTCAACATCGCCAAAACCCCTAAATTCTCCTCCCCTCAACCCCCCCAACTAGCGCCACCTACATTACTAGCCTCCGCTTCCATACCAACCCTCCCTCCTCTACCTCTTAACTCTCCCCTGTTCCTAGTCGCCGTGGGTTAAAGAAGAACAAGTTGGTCTGAGCAGTTATGCTTATGGTACCGGGGTCTCTAAGCCAGATGCTACAGTTTATTGCTGCCCCTAAGTAGATCAGTCAACCCAATCTCAAAGGCTAGTGGTAGCCGATCAAGCACATTGCGGTAGGCAGAGGAGATTAGTCTTTCCTCTTTTCCCAACAGCCCCGATGGACAACGAAGTAGGCTGTGATGATTGTTTGGCAGCCTTGTGTAGAGAACTGGGCAACCTCTGGTCGGAAGACGATATAGTGTTATTGACAGGCGAGATCCCTGCAGAAAAACAAATAGAATGTGAGCTAATGTTGTATGGGAAGCTGATTTCGAAACCAAACGTGAACTATCAAGCTTTCCTAAGTACGATGAAGAGAGCTTGGAAGACCGACAAGGTAGAGTGCGAGTTAATTGAGCCGGGGTTCTTCTCTTTCTCGTTCAGTTCAATTGAGGAAAAAATGAGAGTTTTGGAAGCAGGACCATGGTCTTTTTCCAGTAACTTACTTGTACTACTACAAGGTGACCCGGATACTCTCGACCATTGCTATGAATTCTCTCATTGTGCCTTTTGGGTACACCTAGTAGGCATCCCACGTGGGAGGATATCAAATGAAGTGGCTCGGGAGGTTGCAGGGAAAATTGGCAATGTTCTAGAAGTGAAATTTGAATCTAAAGGAGGCAGCCCAAACAAGAGCTGCAAAGCAAGGGTCCAAATGGACCTCTCCAACCCTTTGAAAGCGGGGACCATTGTAGACCTGGAGTACAAAAAACTTTGGCTGGACTTTAGATATGAAAGACTTCCACACTTCTGCTATACTTGCGGCCGTATAGGGCATTATGCTACATACTGCAAAGTGGTGCCATTTGAGGAGTCGGGGCCAATAAAAAATACAAGGGGCAAATTCGGACAATGGTTGAGAGCGGAAGTACGCGAACCCAGCCCTTTTTGGAAGATCTTTTACGGAAAGAATAATCCTATGCCTGAAGAAGATGTTATTATTCCGGAAACACCAAGGGATCTAATCCCTAGGGAGTTAGTGACGCCTAGAGCTAAGGAGAAGGAAGTAGCTGGGCTCGCTTGGGGACAAACCACATGCTGAGAATCCAAGGGGACTGAACCCACCAGCTGAGTTGTCAGATGAAAATCAGCAAGGCCTTGATATACAAGATTCCCAGATTACCCTCTTTTAGTCGACAAAGAAGGGTAAGTCAGCAAAGCTTTCAAGGATGGAGAAGATCGAACTGAAATCCTTTAAAAAGGTGGCAGCAGCAAAGAAACAGAAAAAATTCATCCCACTTGGTATGTGTGAGATTCTCAACCAACCTTTTAACGAAGAGACGCTCCTTGATGCTCTGATCCTTTTGGCGGAAGGAAGGAATGAATGGGCTTTGGTGGCTAGCCCTAATAAGCCACCGGGCAATATATGAAACTATTGAGCTGGAACTGCCAGGGGTTGGGCTCTCCCCTGACAGTCCAGCATCTCAGAGCCCTAGTGGCTCAAGAAAGGCCCAACTTAGTGTTCCTGATGGAAACTAAGAACAAGAGTCCAGTCGTTGACAGAGTTAGAAGGAATATTCAATTTCAACATTCGGAAATAATCGACCCTTTAGGATTAGAAGGTGGTTTGGCGGTGTTGTGGAACGAAGAGATGTCAGTGCAAGTGGAAAACAGCTCTAGAGAGTTTATTGATATAGTGTGCAGGGACCAAGACAGGGGAACTCTTATGCATCTAACCTTCTTATATGCTCCCACAAATTTCCAGCAAAGGCTATAGCTTTGGCACCGAATTCAAGCTATAAACCAAGCTAATAACCTTCTATGGATTTGTGTAGGGGACTTTAATGAAATCTTATACCATTGGGAAAAGCGAGGAGGTAGTGCGGCGGATCACTGTAGGCTAGTAGCATTCCAGGATTTTCTAAATAGATGCTCACTCATGGACATTGAAAGCAAGGGATGTGCATTCACATGGGCGAACAACAGGGATGGAGAAGCATTAGTGCGGAAGAGGTTAGATAGGGTTCTCTGTAATATCACCTGGAGAGTGCGATTCCCCAACGCGGAAGCTTTTGCCCTACCAACAATAGGATCCGATCACAGCCCTATTATTCTGTCTCTTTCCCCAAGGACAACCAAGCGGAAAAAGGAATTCAAGTTTGAGGCGTTTTGGCTGGAGGAAGCTGATTGTAAGAAGATGGTGAAGGAAATTTGGCGGGGACCTGAAGTCAACTCGGGAGTTTTCATGAGCAAACTGAAAAAGACCACTGATGCATTGTCAGTATGGAGCAAAAACAAATTCTCCAACGCCCATAATCAGATTGAGTCACTAAAAAGAAGACTTACGACCCTCACAAATACAAGGGATTCCAGCATTAGAGAAATGCAGCACATTAAGGTGCAAATTGAGAAACTTTGGCGACAAGAAGAACAATATTGGGGTATGCGTTCCCGTATTAACTGGATTAAAAGGGGAGATAAAAATACGAAATATTTCCATGCCGCAACGGTCCAGCGCAGACAAAGAAACAAAATATCAAAGCTGAAAATAGACGATCTCTGGGTCCGAGATCCTAATGGGCTGAAGCAACATATTGCCAGGTTTTATGAGTCTTTGTACGAAACAATGGGTCCAAGGAACTTCCAGCCAGTACTAGACCAGTGCACTTTTCCTGCTCTAAACGGGTTGAATGAAGCATTAATGGCGCCGGTGACTTTAGAAGAGGTAAAACTGGCAACTTTTTAGTAAGGGGCAGCAAAAGCCCCGGGACCCGACGGGATGAATAGCCAGTTCTGCCAACATCATTAGGAGGACATTCAACACGATTTACACCGGCTAGTCAGCACTTTTTTCCAAACAGGTTACCTTGACCCAGATATCAGTAAAACACACATAGTTCTCGTCCCCAAAGTCTCTACCCTAGAAAGTATCACACAATTCAGACCCATTAGCCTTTATAACTTCAGTTACAAGACCATTTCTAAAGTGATGGCGAATCGACTTAAGCCCTGGCTCCCGAACATCATCGCAATAGAACAAAGCGCCTTTGTTTGTGGGAGACAAATTCAAGATAACATTCTAATAGTTCAGGAGATCCTTCATCAACTGAGAATTAGGGAAAGAAAACGGAAGTTCCAGGCGATTCTCAAGCTGGATATGCAAAAAGCATATGATAGAGTGGAATGGGATTTCCTTTGCGCCTGTATGCTGAAAATGGGTTTCTGTGCGGAATGGGTGGCTTTAGTGCAAAAGTGCATATCCACTGTAACTTTCAGTGTCAAAGTAAATGGGGAGCCCTTACAGTATTTCCACCCGTTACGGGGAATTAGACAAGGTGATCCACTTTCTCCTTACCTATTCATTATCATGGCCAACGTGCTCTCGTCTCTCCTAAACAAGGCTGTGGAGGATAGGAACTTGAAGGGGATCAGCATGAACAGGAATTGCCCAACATTGTCACACCTACTTTTTGCCGATGATGCAATATTCTTCTTGGATGGGAATTTAAGGGAGTGTCAGAACTTGGCCAATATCTTAAATCAATACTGCTTTGCTTCGGGACAAGCAATCAATCTCAACAAATTAGGGATATTCCTTAGTGCTGGTTGCCCTCAGTCCCTTAAGAGCAATCTGGCGACCGAACTAAGAGTACCTATCATGGAGAAAACTGGCAAGTACCTTGGTATCCCTTCAGATTGGGGGCAAACAAAAAAAACAAATGTTCGCATGGATTCTAGCCAGGGTAAATATGAAGATGGAAGGTTGGAAGGAAAAATTGCTTTCAAAGGCGGGCAAGTAGATTTTAATCAAAACAGTGGTACAGGCACTGCCCCAATATGCCATGTCGATCTTCAAAATCCCCATATCGGTGTGCAAGGCAATTGAGCAAAAGATCGCATCCTTTTGGTGGAAACAAAACTCTTCCACATCGGGTATCCACTGGAAAAAATGGGAGACCCTTAAAGAAAGGAAAATAGATGGAGGTTTGGGTTTCAAGGACCTCGTTATCTTTAACAAGGCAATGCTAGGAAAACAAGCATGGAGACTTGCACAAGATCCGAATGCATTATGGAGTCGGCTACTTAAAGGAATCTACTTCCCAAACGGAAGCTTATGGTATGCAAAGAGGGCTCTCGGCCTTCGTGGGGGTGGCAAAGCTTGTTAATGGGAAGGGATGCGATTTGTTCAGAAGTTAAATGGCTGGTAGGGAATGGAGAAAATATCAACATTAGAGAGGACAAATGGTTGGAACAAGGAACTATCGGGGGTCAAGCAAATCGAGAAGACCCCCAAAGAGTTGCCGAATTGATTAACCACGAGGCTAATACTTGGAACGTAAACCATTTGTATGAACTTTTTGAAGAGAACATTGTGACAGAAATTCTTGCCATTCGGATCAAGCCAAACCTACAAAGGGATAAACTCGTTTGGACAGGAAACTCAACAGGCGAGTACAAAGTCAGACATGGGTACTCCAATCTCCGTGCATCTACACCAAAGCAAAACGCAGAACAACCATCTTCCTCATATCAACCGCCCCAAGCCCTATGGACTAAGATTTGGAAATTACATACCGAGCCCAAGATCCGTTTCTTCTTGTGGTGTGTGTGCCATAATGCTCTTCCCACAACAGAAAACTTATTCAAGAGAAAGGCGTTACCTGATTTCGCTGTGCCCAATTTGCCGGAAAAATCCTGAGACCATAGAGCACATCTTCATCTTGTGCGACTGGACCAAGGAGATTTGGTCAGATCTGAGGCTAAAGGTGGACGTCTCACCCCTAAACTTAACAAGAATGGACAAGTGGATTGAAGAAACTCTTACTGGTGGCGCAAAGCAGTCATCAAGAGAGCTGGTCGTAGTAGTACTTTGGCTGGTCTGGAAGGAACGGAATGCCCAGATTTTCCAACATAGAACACCCAACCTAGGAACAATTGTTGACGGCGCCTTCCTCCTCAGCAGCAACTATTGCACGCTAAACTCATCTCAGCAGTGTCGATGGGTGGAGAAATCCTTACCAGAACACTGGATGCTACCGGCAGCAGGGTCGTGGAAATTCAACGTCGACGGGTCTTGGATCGAAGGATCAACAGAGGGATCGGCGGCTGGGGTTTGTCGGGATCACAGAGGCTTGCTCAGGGCTGGGTTTGCTAAGAGGGCGATAGGATCTTCTTTGCTGGAAATCGAAGCCACAGCCGTGAAGGAAGCTCTGCTTTGGCTGCGGGATATGTCGAAACAGAGGAAGGAATCTGTGGAACATGTGATTATTCTATCCGATAACGTCTCCTCTGTGAATTTTGTTGCTCATCCTTCTCTGAGCCCGTGGGCTTTGAGAAGCCTCTTTGACGAATGCCATGAGCTGCTTGCCCAATTACAAGATGTTTCTCTGGCCCACTATTCTCGAGAAGCCAACAAAGCCGCAGATTGGGTCGCCAAGACTCACCGAACAGGGACCCTTCCCTCCAATTGGTGTTCTAGACCACCCCAACCTCTTTGGGATTTATTTTGTTTAGACTCTTGTCAATCTGACTCTTGTAATACATCGTTCTATGAATGAAGTGATATGTGTTTTGACCAAAAAAAAAAAACTAACAAGGCTTTTTAAATAAGATGCAAAAAAATTAATTTAATATCAACTATAACCCGGTTTTATATCCAAGTATAACCGGTTCGGTTCCGATTCTAATTTTTCAGGTTCCGATCCCGAATCGACTATCTCTAAATTGATTACCCCAGAGAAATAATCCGAATAGAATAAAAAGAATGATTAATACCACAAAAACTCCAAACCGGTACACTTGTGACAAATTTACCCTCCGCTAATTTTCAGTAAATTTTACTGTCAAATTGCTGAGTTGGATGACACGTGACAGTTGACGAGTGTACTAGTTTAGGGTTTTACCCCTCTGCTTGTCATAAATTTATCAATTTATAATTTTTTGTTATATTAATCTGATTTAACGGAGGGTAAATTTGTCATAGAAGTACCAATTTGGGGGTTTTTATGGTAAAAAAATTAGTTTGGAGTAAATTTGTCACAGGTGTACCAATTCGGAATTTTTTGTGGTAAAAAAGTTAGTTTGTGGTAAACTTGTTATAGG